CGCAGCCACTAAACACTGTCAGGCGCCCGTTTGTCTTAACGATGATTCCAACTCGAGCGTGGCGCTGTTCACCTCGGACATTAAGGGGGCGCGGGGGCGGCGCCGGGGACACCAGTAAATCCCGCGGCTGCTCGGCGAGGTGGTCGCGAGGCGCGATGGGCTGCCTACCCCGCCCGGCGGCTCGCAGACACCGCCGCCACCTCACACACACACAGACACCCGCCGCGCGGTTCTGTATTCCTGTCTGCTCCACGGGCGGGCCGCGCTCACGGGGCTGGACCGCAGCCAAACCCCAGGGCTGCAGGCCCCGCGGCGGCAGGCCCGAGTGTCGCAGAGTCGACAACATATTTAACACTTGTCGCGGGGCGGGGCGGGGCGGGCGCCGCCCCCCGGCTAATAGACCACGTCTGTGTGTGACTCCCGCGACCACTCGCCCCCCGGTCCTCGGCCTGGAGGCCGCCGCACCGGACGCGCACCACACTCAAGAGAGTACAAGGAGCACCTGGACCACTTGCCAGTTTCAAGACAAACAGTCCTTATCCCGTGGTGGAAGTTCAAGACAATTTCAAATCGTGGTTGTACGTGAAGTTCCTTTACTGAGTGATGCGAATTCCATGTTTGAGTTTGATTCTCAGTTCAAGCGCTTTGCCTTATCCCGCTTTTGACCAAAGACAAGAAAAGCACCGGGGTGATTATCAAAAAAAACGTGCAGTTTCGTTTCAAAAATAGAATTATTTCATTATTTTTTTGGCTTAATTTTTTGGGTTGGATATTGTTCTTTAGTACCACAAGGTTACATTTCTAGAGTTGTCCCACAGTCTGACCACGTACAGAGGTTTAACAGCGATTCATGCCAAAAAGAGGCATCGGAGTTTAGTCCAATCTTACAGTTCTCCCGTAGACGTGCAAAATACAGCTCCATGATCGATCCAGACTCTTTTGATATCATTTTTTACACGACTGTTCAAGCAGCATTGTAATAGATCTTGCGGAACTGGTCCATAGCCCCAGTAGGTTAAGCAAATCTATGAGGGTGTTTGACGTGTTGCCTAAGTGTCGGGCATAGGCCCGCTCTACCACTGGCAATACCACGACTCCAAGACACCGGAGCGACCCACGGCCGAGACGTGGGTGGAATAATTAGTGATAGTAACAGATAATGGCATCGGAGTTTAGTTCTGAAGAAAGCCTAGAACAGCCCTTTTGCCCGGACAGGGCACCCCAAACTTATTACGACCGGGCAGGACGTTAATAGTCCTCTATTTTCAAAAGGGCATATTCGGGATTTTCGATTCTGCATTACAGAATGGAAACTAGAGCAGGAACGGAGTTTATTCGCAAAAATATTCGCACAAGACAACGATGTTTCTTCCCGCCTCTTCACCAGCTGATCCCGTTTCGCGCCAACTTCTCGTTCGGAAAAAGTTGAGTTCTTGTCGTACTCTCGTGATGCAGTGCTACCAACCCTTCAGCTGGACCCGTCTTGGCTGTGGAGTGGTGGCTGATAAACTCCGAAGCCCGAACCTCAAAACCCGTGGAACGACTTTGAGCTCCTGTAGCTCTGCGTGTACACCCGCTAAAAAACCAAGACTAAGGGTGAAAGTACCTTTGAATGTGGACTGTAGAACTAGGGAGGACATTTGAGTTTCCAAGGTTTCCATATTCCCAAAATAGGCTGCTTTTCAAACCAACAGGGAAGTGTGGAAAGCATCGGAGTTTAGTTTTAACCCCTTTAGATCGATCCTGCTCCTACCAGTGATAAAATTGTTCGATATTCTTGTCGGCCCCTAGTAGAGCTCCAAAAAAGACGTCATACTAGACCGAAGTGGTGGCTCCAGCACAATGGAGACGAACATGAGATGCTTTGGAACGAAACTGTACGGTTTTTTTGATAATCACCCGCCGCCGCCGTGTGCACTGAAAAAAACAAAGGTAGGACTCGAAGGGTTTTAATGCCTTTACACTGTAAAGGAGAGAGTCACCTTTTTTGCCCGAATAGAGCGACGTATGTTTTCATCGCTGTAATCGAGCAATGTTTGCAAAAGTCACTCAAAATTAGTGACATTTGGAACTGAAAACGTCGCAAATGTGACTCTAAACGAGCGACTTTCCAAAATGTCACTCCCCCAGGAGTCACCAAATTTGATGGAAAATGTCGCTCTCCAACTTCAACTTAAGTCACTCCCCAACTTTCAGTGTACAAAGGTATTAAAAGTTAGCACCCCTGCTAAGGAATTAAAAGCGCTCAACGGTATTCAATGCCTCTGGACACTTCCTTGCCTTTGCAAAGACATTAAAATGTAACACCCCTAGAAAGGCATAAAGTCCTGCCTTTGTTTTTCCAGTGTGGCCTGATCGTATCCTACATATAAGAGAAGCACAGGCGGGATGACTTTTCCTTCTAGTATAGACAGTCTTGGGGACAGTAAGAAAATAATAAATTTCTGTTTATTTTCTTGTCTTTTGGTGATTGTTTCTAACTGAGAGAAATGCTGGGAGAGAAATCTTGATAATCCAAAAGGAAAAATTCTAAAATACATCTTGTAATTTTATCGGGGGAAAGAGAAAGGGGCGGGGGAGAGGGGGACTGATACTGGAACAACGTTGAGTTCGAGAACGAAGCAAGGAATATAAAATCAAGAGCCCAAACGAACTGAGTGGAGAGTAACTTATGCCAATTTTATTATTCGTACAAAACAACAGACATTTAAAAACGAGAAAATATTACATAGTTTTCAAAAATTATATATAATAAAAATGAGAAAAACTTAGTTTTTCAGAGTGTGTGAATTAAGAGAGCCGAAAGGCATATTAATTCACGCAAATTTCTTTTAGAATATTGTACGCTTACACGTGTGGGTCCGGAGATGTGCGTTCAAGAGGCTCTTTAGCGCTAATTTCACTCAAAAGGCTCTCGCCTGAGTGTGTCGAGAGGTGTCGGCGGAGATGGTCAGCACGGTTAAATTTCTTGTTGCAGATTGTGCACTTAAAAGGCCTCTCCCCTGTGTGTGTCCGGTGGTGTGCGCGGAGACCATTCGAATTTGCAAATTTCATGTTGCAGACGATGCACTCAAAAGGCCTCTCTCCTGTGTGGGCCCGGAGATGTTTGCCCAAGTTGTTCTTGTCAGCAAATTTCTTGTTGCAGAGTGTACACTCAAAAGGCTTCTCTTCTGTGTGGGTCCAGAGGTGTTCGCGGAGACCACTAAAATAGGCAAATTTCATGTTGCAGACGCTGCACTCATAAGGCCTCTCTCCTGTGTGAGTCCGGAGGTGTTCGCGGAGACCACTAGAATGTGCAAATTTCTTGTTACAAAGTGTACACTCAAAAGGCTTCTCTCCTGTGTGGGTCCTGAGGTGATACCGCAGATACACAGCAGCACTAAATTTCTTGTTGCAGATCATACACTCGAATGGTTTCTCTCCTGTGTGTGTGCGGAGGTGTGTGTGGAGACTACCCATCACTGTAAATTTCTTGTCGCAGAGTGTACACTCGAAGGGCTTCTCTCCTGTGTGGGTTCGAAGGTGTTTGCGGAGACCACTAGAAAAGGCAAATTTCTTGTTGCAGATTGTACACTCGAATGGTTTCTCTCCTGTGTGGGTCCGGAGATGTGTGACCAAGTTGGCCTTTCCAGCAAATTTCTTGTCGCAGAATGTACACTCGA